TCTCCTTCAAAACAAGCTTTTCAGTTCGCTTTGGTTGGTTATTCCTCTAACTTTGTCCTCAAAACAAGCCTTGATTTTTGAAAAAGTAATTTTGCAAAAATCATGTGTGACGTTGTTTTTGTGTCAGGGCAGAGTCAGGCAAGAGAAGAAGGATATGCACATGCATCAGTGGTTTCCAGATGCATGTCCTTTGTAAACAGTGCAGAAGTATGTACGTGTAAGTGTGCATGGATGCAAGCGTGCTTGTGGGGTTTTTTAGACACCGGTTTCTATGCTCAGGCTGGGACTTAATAAGTCCCATGTGCCACCATGGTCAATCACAGAGCCATAGAAAGGTTTGAGTTGGAAGGGGCCTGAAAAGATCTTATAGTCCAACCTCCCCTGCCGTGGACAGGGACATCTTTCAGTAGACCAAGTTACTCAAAGCCACATCTGGCCTTGAACACTTCCAGGGATGAGGGATCCACAATTTCTCTGGATGACCTGTTCCAGTGTCTCACCACTCTTGTAAAAAATTTCTTCCTTATGTCCAGCCTAAACCTGTCCTCTTCCAGTCTGAAACCATTGCCCCTTGTCCTGTTGAAAGTGGGTAAGATTCTCTCCAGCCCTATTGAATGGAATGTAGTCACCCTGATCTGGTGTAACGCCAACTGAAGACCATTACAGTTGCCTGAACAACCCGATAAAAGGTGAAAGCTGCCTGACAAAGGCCAGCTGCAATTCTAAACTTACACTTCATGGCGTGTGGCTTGTGTTTTTCTCCGGCTTAGGAGGAGAGAAGAGTCCAGCTCCAAAAGGGTCTTGGTGATGCAGAGATGCACAGGAGCCGTGCTCTTGTTCTAGCTGCATTTTTTGCTGAGAAGAGCAAATAATAGAAAATTTTAACTTTTGATTTTACTGTAGTCAGCAGAAGTGAGCGAGCACAGAGAAGGAGCAGATCTGCAGAGTGACAGACCCCGTTTTACCTGGCTGCAATGTGAAGCACGGTCCTAGTTCTCAAAGTGCACATGGGGTGGCCTAATTTAGCTTTATGTTAACAAAACTGAGGATGGGAATGAGAGGCATCAGCGAAAAACAATTTTCAGTGCATTTTTATATTTCTTCTTGGTATCTTCTCTTTTCTCTCTCTGAAAATGAAAATTATTTTAATACTCACTGTTCTGCAATAGGAAGACAATTTGTGGAGTTTCCTGCCCGTCCGCAGTTCACGCTCCTCAAGTGCTTTACTATAGAAGTTGATCTTCATGAAGTCCAGAAGATCTATGCCCACAGTCACTGCATGGAAACCCCCCTGGACTTTAATGATGCTGGGATTTCACTCTAAAGTTGAGCTTTACAAAATCAAAATGCACAGAACTAGGGTGGTTTGGGGTTTTTTTTCCCCCCTATTTTGTGTCCCAGTCCTATTTTTGAGGTAGCTTTGTGTCATGTATAGAAGGGAGAAAGAAAATACTTGAGATCCTGAGATAAAGGCAAATATGAGAACTAATAAACAAGTGCAATATTGAAGTATCTAGATCTGTTGTGATGCTACCACTCCTGGGGACTAAGCTGCAGCTGACTTCTTATGAGTAAAAATAAATCGCTTCTCTATTTCATTCAAAGTTGTTCCATGGATTTGCTGAACTAGTTTTTCCTCCAAGCATGGTCACATTTTGGGTCAGCATGCCTAGACAACATGGGGCTCTGCCAGCAGTTCCTGTGTAAAGTCCCTCTTTTTTTTTTTTTGAAACAAATCCAGTCATTCATAGAAATGAACTCCTGCATAATTAGAGCCAGAATTGCACATCATCTTTGCTTTCCATTTTTAGATGTTTCGTCTGGAGGACTATAACTTTTAAAGATGCCAACAAGCCACTTAGGAGCTCGATAGCCGTAATGGGAAAATCTGTGGAGCTGAATAGAAAATGATAAGCGTCGTAAGGACTATTTTAAATCGTTTGGTAAAGAGCTCAGCCAGACATTCAATGAAAGAATAGAAACAATAGCCCCTTCTAATTCAGTCTTCAGGGGTTTGTCCTTTCTCTACTGTCCTGATGAAGTCCTGATCCTACAGGCAGCTTAATGGAGAGGAAAGTGTTCTTTATACTGGAGTCCTCTGGACTCTGCTGGGTCTAGTTATTGGACTGTGGCGTGAACGGGTGCAGAGCACTGATTTTATTCATATTTCACCATCCAGGGCTTGTAATCAACCATTTCTCTTTCTAGGTTAGTTAAAACATTCAGTAGCCCCAGATACTGAAGCATGAAACTCTAGAAAACTGATCCTCTTCAGCATTTTTTAACCTCGAGTTTTCAATAAAGAGCTATTTAAAAATAATTAAGAAGGATTTGGAGGCCTTTTTTTTTTTTTTTTTTGACAGGCAGGAGGGAATCATCGGCTTCAGAGCCAGCAGGTGTTGACAGGTGAGAGATCTCACAATAAGTCTTTTATTTCTCTGCGCTCTGAGGCTTTCAGGTATGTCCTGTAATCACAAAATTAGAGTGGGTGGCAGATGAGCTAAAATTTGTTTCTTTGTTCGGAAAATGCAGTATGGATTTTTCTTTGTTTGAACCTTTAATCCAAACTGACGCTTTAATAACTGAAATTCCAGTAATGGGCTTTTTAAAAAAAAAAAAAAAAAATTAGAGAATAAACCAATAAGAAAACTGACTTTGCAGTGGGAGATTGCCCCAAAGATGTTCACAGCAAGACTGTCACAGCATGTGAGGTCGGTTAATGGAACCAGATGGGGCTCTTTAGGACAAGTGTTTGACACTGCTTCACTGCTAAGAGAAGGGTAAAGTCTGAACAAAGTGAAGGAGAGAATATAATAGCCCCAATTTTAAAAATTCAAATTATAAAATCACAGAGTGGTTTGGATTGGGAGGGATCTTTAAAGATCATAATAGTCCATCCCCCCTGCCATGGGCAAGGACATCTTCTACTAGATCAGGTTGCTCAAAGCTCCATACTACTTGGCCTTGAACATCTCCAGGGATGGGGCATCCACAACTTTTCTGGGCAGCCGGGTCCAGAGCCTCACCACCCTCATTGTAAACAAATTCTTCCTTAAGTTTAATGTAAATCTACCCTCTTTTAATTTAAAAGTGTTACCCTTGTCCTGTCACTACACGCTCTGGTAAAAAATCCCTCTCCATCTTTCTTATAAGCCCTCTTCAGGTACTGTAAGACTGCTAGAAGGTCTCCCTGGAGCCTTCTCTTCTCCAGGCTGAACGACCCCAACTCAGCCTGTCTTGATAGGAGAGGTGCTCCAGCCCTCACATCATCTTCATGGCCCTCCTCTGGACCCGCTCCAACAGGTCCACGTCCTTCTTATGTTGGAGTCCCCAGAGCTGAACACAGTGTTCCAAGTGGGGTCTCACAAAAGCAGAGCAGAGTGGCAGAATCACTTCCCTCGACCTGCTGGCCACTCTTCTTTGGATGCAGCCCAAGGTATTAGTTCTCTGTTGAGATGTCAAAGCATACTGTCAAAGAGTTAGATACTACTTTCAACTTACTCCTGCATTTTTCTTTGCAGAGTACTAGGGAAGAAGGCTTAGTAGATGAAGCCCAAGTTCAGGCCGCGTGGCAGTTTCCCCATCAGCAAGATGGAAATGCCACTTTGTTCTCCCACTGGCAGGCTGAGGTTCTTTATATTAAAATATTCAGAAAGGGGTTTGTGATCTTCAGAAAATGGCAAGGTAGAGGTGCCATAATGATGTGAAGTGTTGTCATAATTTATTGTTAGAAGAATCCTGTTAGAAAGAGCCTGCCTGAACCACTGGATCATCTTAACAGGTTGGTCTTACCTTTACCTTGTGAGAGCCCAGCAGCTTAATGGGCCAGACGGGCACATTTCAGGCAAAAAGGATTCATATACATTTATGTCACTTCAGAGGGGATGGTGAATGCAGTGGGTCCATGTAAAATCGTACCCTGTGGTCAGTGTGTGCGTGTGTGTTCCTGTGCCTGCATCCATGCGTGCGACCATCGGCGTCCTCAACGCTTTCCCACCGACCTAGACTGTAGTGAATTTGCAATACATGGTGCTGCATTTACATTCCTTGGAAGATCCAAGCAAGCAGTGCATTTGCTTCCTCATGGACTTTTCTTATTCATTCTTATTGCGAGCTTTCTTGCAGCCAGCACAGCGAGGTGCTGTTGTGAAACAGGCGCTGTTAGAGGACTTCAAAGCCTGGGAGCCAGCGTTTGGTTTTAGAAGCAGCGCTACACAGCAGATTGTTGGTAACTGGGGCATAACGCTGCCTCAAGAGGCACCTCACCAAGATTTGCCTCTGACACACTGCCCACGAACCCTCCCTGGCACACTTGTTCAATAAGCAGTTGTCTTTAAACATCAGATGGTGTTGGTGAGACCACATTTGCTACTGTACTAGTTTATTCGTTCTAGATGGTGTAACCGCCGCACTGGGAGCCGGTTGGCTAGTACTTGGCAGTCCAAATGTTGCACGTGCTTTGCAAGCACTGTATGGATTTACAGGGCATCCATGTAAATATTTAGACAAAAATAGAGCATTTTTACTTGTTAGAATGTACATTGACTTTAATGGCTTGTGTGTCCAAATGTTTCTGTGCATAATATGGAAGTGAACTGAATCCAACCGTGACGTCACTGAAGACTTTACAGATGATTTAAATTTCAATGGTTACTGTCCAGCTTAACTGTAACAAAGTTCCTTTAGCAGTATGTTAAAGTGAAAACTCTGCTTCCCTGTTTTTCTTTGTTAACCAAACCTTCTGAACTAAAAGAAGATGCTGGCATGAAAAGGCAAAAACAGTTGTACCTTGACGTTAGATGCTGGATGTTTGCAGTTTCATTTCCATTGCCAGGCCTAGAAGTATTGTGCCGGATTTTCAGTAATTTATCAGCATTTTCAGATTGGGCTTTTGTGTGTACCCGTACTCGGCCGTCGCCTGTGTGCCGTGATCCCTGTTTGCACATGCTGCTGCTGTTCTTGCACCGTAGCATCCCTTGGAGTCCTGCAGCCCGGGCAGCATGGCGGCGGCGGCTGCGGTAATGAACCAGGCTGAAAGAAATACTCCAATGGCTGCCTTCCAGCACTTGGCAAGAAAATCCTTTTTATGTTAGTTTCAAGGTCGTCAGATATCATTATAGCCAAGTATTAAAAATTTCAAAGAAAGGAGGCAGTGTGTTTGATTTATAGAATAATTATCTAGCTTTAGCTCTAACTTGGCTTTGGCAATGGTTTTGCAAGCACTCGAAAATTAAATCCATTTTTTATGGCACTACAAGGTATTATCTCACAGCAAATGATAATTAAACACCTGTGAAATCAATTAGCCCTTTAAGCAGGGGGAAAAAAAAAAAGTTTTCCAATTATGTTTTTTGCACCTCCAAACTTTCTAGTTCCAGAACCAGCGCTTGCGGAGAGGGAGATGAACTGCCAGCCAGTAGCCTGTTAACCGGCATTAAGATCACCCCAAAGCATTGCGCAGCCGTAAATCCCAAAGCAAGCAGTTCGCGGCGACGGCACCCTTCCAAGTGGGATGTGGAGCCTTCCGAGCTCGGTCTTGGGCAGCTATCTGTCTGACGCACAGCTGAGCTGTCAGCTCTTCTACAAAGACAGTTACTCGCTGGGTGTTTTCAATGCCAAGTTTTACTTGACAGTTTATTTAAAAGCCAGCGTACCTTAATGGAAACCAAGCAACGCGATGCTCCGTGTGACAGTGTGGGTTTCTTTTCAGGCTTTCCAGCCAGTAGTTCAGAGCCATCTGCATTAAGCCTCCACACATGGAAAACTGGCCGATGGGTTAATAGCTGAAACGTAATATACTGGAAAACTGGGAAACACTCCGCCATTTAGCCTTGCGTTGTAGGTGTTTAATATCTGCCTTTGTTGTAGCACTTGGACTGGAGACTTCTGGAAGTTGCAGGGTGCGTTTGTGGGCTTGCAGATTCAGAGAGGGAGCCCTGGACGTAGTTGGTTAAGTGCCATAGCAATTTTTGGCTCAGGAAAGAAAAAGCCAGCTCTGGTCCTATTCGACATCTATGTCGGTATGCGCTGATACTCCCGGCCAAGGATGAGCTCCAGCATCTTCCAAAAGATGGATTACATGCAACACCATTAAAATATGTACTGCTGGGTTAAACCTGTTGTATTTGGTTTGGGTTCTGCTCCTGTATTTCCATCGTAATTTTGATAGCCGTGATGTACAGCTGGTTTTCGGTGAGTGACGTTATCACTGGAGAAGAGGGAGGCAGGTGAGGACGCTGAGGTTAGCGTTCCCAAGGTCTGTCTAGCTGCTAGAGAAGCCACCAGTCATCTGTTTTCCAGGTCTGTCTCAGGTTTTCCTTCTGTGAAATGGGAATGGTGATGGTGTCCCGTATCAGTGTTCAGAAGATTAAATAAGACAATATGTACACTGCTTTGTGATTCCTATGTGACAGGAGACATATAGCTGGATAAAGTACGATAATCATTACATCTGGGTAGCTGGACATATCTGCTGCTCTAAACAGCCAGCGTCTTTTCAGATCTCTCTTCAATCAGTGGTGATGGTGATGACGATGTGGCTTTGGGAAAAAATAGTTCATATTAATATTGGTAGTGAAAATGTTTCCCAGGGTAGTTTATAATCTCTTAAGTGTAGCGACATGGGGAAATGCTTAAGCTGTAAGAAGGAATGTATGGCATGGCTGATTAGTCACTGCAGAGCCTCTGCAGCCTGCCCAGCCTCCTTGGGATAATGGTGAACCAGGAATCCCAAGCAGCCCACTAATCCATGTGCTGACTGACAAGGTCGGCACATCAGAAAGAAAAAAAAAAAGGGGAGTGGGGAAAGACAGAAGCAATGTGTTGGATCAAGAAGTTAAAAGGGTAAGAGCATTTGGCCGAGCAGCGTTTCTCCTTCGGATAATTGCCCGCACGGCGTTGCAGTGTTTACACCTGCGTGATAGATGGGGCCGAACATGTTTTCTCAGCTATGGGTGGTATCAGGGAGGGGTATTTCAATTAAAGTGTGAATAAATTAGAATTGATTACAAATAGAGCTATTTGTTTATGCTGCCTAAAAAGGTATTAGCTGTGAACAAGGTGCACTTAATCATTACAGAAGGAAGCCTGAAAGTTAATAAAACACACTGGTGATCCTTACGGAGGGACACGAGCTTTGGGTTAAATCTGGAGCCATTTTAGTTATAAAGCCCCAACTGTCATTTTAAAAGCGTCTGCATTTTGGATTTTAACATGTTTGAATGATGCAGCTGCGGCCCAGGCCAAGCCAACCCTAAAATTGGCAGTAAAATGTTACCTCCGCGCAAGCGTGCAGAACGAAGGAATACAGGAATGTGAGCAATAAGCATGTGCCCCCTCCACCACTCCCTGGCAGTTTTCTAACGTAGAAACCAGGAGCTTTCTGGAAATAAATACCCTCTGAGCAAAGCAGAGGACTCTTCTCAAAGCTTTCCTAAATGCTCAGGAAGACTAACTGGCAACAGGAAAGGAAAGGAAAGCTCTGGGAGTGCGACACGGAAGCGGCATGGGTGAGGAAGGAGTACCCGGCCGGCTGCTTGTGCCTCACGGTGCTGGTCGTCACTCCGATTCCTCATGTGCAAGTGGAGCCTGAAAAACCTCCGTAGCTGAGTAAAGCCAGAGCATCTGGATAGGCAGGTAATGCTGAGCTGTCCCCACAAGCTGGCAGCTCCGGGTTTGCCGAAACCAGAGTGATACAAGCTGGAAGACCGTAACAAATCTCCCTACCATCCTCAGCTGTTACCGGCTAATGGAAATAAGTAGTTCTGAAAACAGATGTAACCCCCATTGCCAGGGGAGAAGAAGAGGAGGAGGCTCTGGAAGCACCTCTTCTAAACACTTAACTCTTTTCTCTGTAATTTAAGGCCCCTCCGCCAGTTGCAAGCAGGGTTAGAATACTTCATTGCCTCCCTGAGGTCTTGCTGAGATTAGTCAGAGAAGATGGTGGGGAAATCAAGCCCATTGTTGATGTGACACTGGTATTTGCAATAGATGCCAGGTCAGTACTTGATGTACAAGTGTCCTGCTGTAGCTGAGAGGCTGTTCCTGGATGTCTGTGCCAGCTCCCATTTCTTTCCTGGACAAGTGAAGGAGAAATTTCAAGTCTGGCAAAGATTTAATTCAGATAACTCCCTTTAATCAGAGAGATTATCTCTCTGACTTTGCTGAGAGCATTTCGAGTCAGAGTTAAGGGAGGTGCGGAGATGCTTTCAGGTGAGACGTGTATGTGGACAAAAATGCCAATCATACATAAGCAATTTTCTCTCCCCGGCAAAACACCAGCAAAGCTCAAACCTCCTCCTACGTGCGTGGTTCCTACAGGGCCAAATGGGAAGGAGTCTGAAACTGAGGGTGTCCCTGAAGCCCTCTGTCCTTCCCATGGCCAGTGGGCTGGAGCTTCATTCACCAGGTGACATTTTTGTGGCCAAGGTCTCCTCCGAATGCTGCCTGGCAGTCTGAGAAAAACATGAAAGAGTCCCTGCTGCAAACTCAACTCTGAAGTGCTATTTGGTACATGTAAATGATTTCCTCCGCAAGCGATGCTTCAAATTACAAAGCTGTGCTTGCAGCTCGACAGAGATGTTTATGTGTTTGTGGCTGGCTACAGGTGTTGTGCGAAAGGCGTTTCCGAATTTGTGTTTAAACATACTGGGCTGTCTTCTGTCTTTTGGCTAAGGCAGGGTGCCCCCCTTGCTTTGCATGCTACCCACAAACTAGTAGGAGAAAGATTAGCACCTTGTCTTTAAGGATTTCAAATAGATGCTTGATCCTGGAGTGGTCACTGAGGGGGATTAAACTGGAAACCAGTCCGCTAGCACTGCGCTCAAAGATCTTGTCGAGTCACTGTAAAACATTCGGGTTAAAATTGCAGAGAAATTCGTTCATGAGAAGAGTCTTTGGTGCAATTCATTTGCCGCAGCAGCTCTCGACGGATATTGCTTTACTCTGGGTCTCCTCCTGTTGTATTTGCGGGCCCTCCCTGAAGTGAGTGGAAATTTTGTGCCCATACATCAAGGTTAGGATGAGGCTCTCTGTGTACGTATGATGTAGATAAATTGCTTGATGACCATGAACCGTGCTATTCCAGAGCTCAGCAATAAATCACGCGTTAGGCTTTAAAACGCACAAACGGCAGCAAGACTCTAACTGGTTTCCAGGTGGGAAATGATCAACAAAATCCTTTTCTTTTTTTTTTTTTGTTTTCCTTTGTAAATCTATCCTAATATCAGCAGATTAGATAGGAAAGGTGCCCAACATCAGACGTTGCTGGCATATGGAGGGCTCACTTGTGATCCCTTCATTCTCTACTTTGTTTTGTGTTCTGGTTCTGCCATCAGTGTTTTGTGGATATCGTTATGTTCCGGGGTATTAACAGGATTTTACATATTTAGCTAGCTAATGGGGACTGCTGATTGGCGTATTCTAGCCCTACGGGGTTTTCTATTTTTGGTGTTTATTAACATTTTCTGTCACACAATATACAGTGAAAGCCATGAGCCTCAGACCTCTCAGTATGTAAAAAAGGAATGCTTAAAAATGGCAACTTCTTTTATTTTTTTTGTATTCCAATTTCCTAATATTTTCCCCCGTGTGCTGTGTCACTGCTGGCTGGTGAGCCGGGACATGGCTGCCAATCAATATCCCGCACAGAGAAAAAGAAATTGCTGCCACTCACATGGAACATGTATATATGTATTTTAACCACAGTTGAGATATGATTTAGGAAAAAAAAAGGAAAAAAAAAGTACTTTGAAGTCTGTTTTGTAGTTTTAATTAATGCAAGGAGGGTTTTTATTTTACTCTCAGTGGAGATAATCTTAATCCATTCACAGTGACCTTTTCTTGTGCAAATTAGCTATACACGCTTGTTTAAGCAAATGGGCCTTCGCAAGATGTCTCTTCCTAAAGAGGGAACTTATAATTGAAAATTGGCTTACTCCCATCTGTCTGGCCTGTGTGAGAATACAAACGTAGATCCGGACTTTTTTTATGTATAAAATGTAATCATATACATATGTATATGCGTACACATATACACACATTAAAAAAAAAAACAACCTGCTCTGCTTGCAGACTATGGTTAAATTAGATTATTAGTGTTCAAAAATTTCAATGCCACAAGTTACTGTCAAAATAACATCTGTCTGCAGAGGCCAGGACACTCTGGAGAACAGAGGGCGTTTAATCTGGATTCTTTTGTCTCACATGAGGTCGGTGCCATTCACAGTTCCCTGGGTTTGCCAGAAGTACAATTAGCTAATGACAGGCTGGAAACTGTTAGGATTTGATGTGTGGTTTTGGTAAATGGTTTTGAGGTGATTGAGGGAATCGGAAAAAAAAAACAGGAGTGTCTATAAGCACTTAAAGTTTTAATTTGGAGGAGCAGGGGTCATTGCAGCTATGTGGTTAATTGCCAAAATGTGGAAGTTTATCCCTCTCACCACACTTGACAATAACCACCAAGTGAGTCATTGTGAACCCACCCCACTCCCCTCTGTTTTTTAATGCCTACTTGATAAGTGGAGATTCCTTTGGCATACTTTGAATATTTTGCTCTGTACGAACCTCCTATGCAGAAATGGACACACTCGTGCATACCATTGACTAAATCTGAATAGAAATCCGGGTCACAGAAGTGCCACAACGATACTTTGGGTATCAAAATATCTAATACAAGTTTATCGTTAGAACTCACGCACGCCTGTTTATATAGAAATGCCTAATTATTGCAAAGGCAAAAGGATTTCCTTCATTCTCAGTTTCATTGCCACACTCTCCAGCTCTCTCCCATGGTGATTGCTCCTTAGAATGAGCAAAAAGGAGCGGGGAGACGGCTGACACGCACGTGCACGTGCACGGAGAGAGCTAGTTAACCTGGTGGTGAGCGGTCTTGATCGGAGATGATTTTATCCAGATGTGTCTCAACAGCTGTTTGCATTTTCACGCCCAGTTACTCTAGAACTCAGCGCTAATTGAATTTTCTCTTTTCTCCCCTGTTCTTGTTAGGTATGATTACCGTGAAATGCTGCACAATGCCACTTTCTGTCTGGTTCCCCGTGGCCGCAGGCTTGGCTCTTTCAGGTTTCTGGAAGCCTTGCAGGTAAGAGCTGCAGTTTAAAGCATCGGCTATGCTGGCCACAATTCAGCGTGCAACAGCGAGGAGGTGGGGAGGAGGGAGGGAAATGTGTTTCATTTCCCTAGTGGACAGTAATCCACTTTGCGAAAGCTTCTCTTCATACTTCTGGAGCAATTGGCAGCTTCTTCCCAGGAGGGGCTGAGCACTGAGCTCATCTGAAGGTTGAATTGCATTACCTCCAGGAAAAGAGTTTCCCTGGGTGTGGTGGGGCTGAGAGGTTGGACTGGTTTAGAGCAGTATTTTGTCAAGCTGTGAGACTTCCCATGGGAGTCACAGGCCTCTACAAGTAAGCCCTGGGGCAGTAAAAACAGCTTTTTGTTTTCACTTAGCCGAAACAGGCCTGCTTATGCATTGCCTGTCTTGCCACCGTGCTTGCTGAACATGCCAAAGGTGGCTTGGAGGTTGTAAAGCCGCAGATGGAAGCTTCACATGGAAGTGGATATAGGCTGAGCTCAGGGTGCTACAATGTGCCTGGGATGGCACCTGAATCCCCTTCTCCTTTTAAAAGCGTTTTGGTTAATGATTTCCGTTTTTTGCTGTTGACCAGCAGCACAGGGCGGTGCAAAGGGGCTCCTGAGCCCCTGTGGCAGTGGGGTTTGGCAGCATGGTGATCGAGCCTGACCCGGACCTACCCTGGCTGCAGCCAGTGTGACCTTTATTTTGGCAAGCATCAGCTCAGCCCTGGGGTCGTGGATCTTCAGTCAGCCATACAGAGCATCTTGGGAGATGCTGCAGCTCCTCTCTGGGACTGGCATCTGGACTTGCATGGGGGCTGGAGTGAAGGGAAGGGGATGCTGAGGCGCTTCTTGGTGTCAGTGAGATGACACTTTACAGGGTCCTGCCTCCAGGTGTCCTTTTGCCATTTGGGAAGCATCGCAGCATTGGCAGTAAAGCTGTTAATGAATAGCGTCACATCGCTTTTCTTCATCAATCACAAAATGTCCCAGCTGCTATTAAAGAGTATTGTTTACTGCCATGCAGAGCAGGATTCAGGTACTAAGCAGAAGTATATAATGTCATTTAGAAGCCCAGGGGTACCGTTCTGGCTTTCTGCTGCTTCTCTAGAAGGTCTCCGGTAGGTGCTGCATCATGTCTGCCGGCCTTGGATGGGTATCTTGGATGCCTCAGAGCATCTCAAATGTGCTGGGCACAGGTTTAACCACTGAACCCTACACCTACTGTCACATTTGAGATCCCAATTCTGGACTGTCACGTACTTCTTTGCTCCTACTCAGGAGAAGATTAATAGCCTGCAAAGTGCTGTTCCCTCTCCAGCCTCTTTGGAGAAGGATGTGGGACTGGCTTATTTGGGATGACGAGTCATTTCAGATCCTCATGAAGTGCACTGCTCAGCTCTTTTCTTGACTGGGTCACAAGTGATAGATCATCTCAAGAGAAGAAAGCAGGGAGTGTACCTCGCTGTGCAGAACTTGGAGGCTCCAGGTTGATGATGATAAAATGCAGGCATTGAGGATTTTCCTAGCAGGCTAGCAGCAGTATACGGCTGATTATGATGAATTCCCAATTTCTGTCTGGCTCCAGGACATGTTGAAAGATGTAATCGACATTAGTGGAATGTTTTAAACATGAAAACACACTGCTAAGTGTTTTTTGGTGGCATTTTTCATGCACTAATGTCATTTCCTTAGAGAAGATCACAGTTCTTTACACATTATGAACGCAGCTGTAATACATAGACTTGACCAGTCTAAGGTCCTGTGTGTAATACATGTTACCAAGGAAGGCACAGTGGTCTGAAAGGTTCCCCTTTATACCATCTTTTGCGAGGTACAGGAGGCACTGACCCCAGTCTGGACCAAATTCAGAGCGCTTAAGCTTGGCTTAACCCAAAAGAAACTGAACCAGAGCACAGGCTCGAGGCAGGTCCTCTGGTAATAGGTTCTTGCATCACATCAGGAGGCTTTTGGTTTGCATCTTATGTCATGATCTGGCTGACCAGAACATAGTGGCGATCATTTATTTATGGAAATAACTGCCTTATTTACTGAATATTTGCAAACTTGCTGTCTGTGCAGAGGAACTTGTGCAACTCGTAAAAGATTAAATAATTCAGACAGATCATACTGGTACGAAATAGATACTAAATGTGTACGCTTTTTGTTTGTTTTAAGACAGAAAGCAATTCCTATTTTTGTAGACAGGTGATGACAGATGAGTTGTGTCTTTGCAGTTGCCTCTGTTTGGAGAGTTGATGTCAAACACGATAGGGAATTCACTCATCCTTTGTGGAAAAAGTGCTCTGGAATTAAATATGATGCATATTTTCTGTAGGGTTGTCTTGTGACATATTACAAAAATTGAGGGAGTTAGCTCCCTGCTGAATGGTTCACAAAGCAGCGAGGGAGGCCATCATTTTGCATTAAATTCTCTGGTGTTACATCTGCAGCATTTTAACGGTTCTGCCCTCACCTGCAGGCTAAGCACCAGATTTCCAATGCCACTCTCCATGCAAACCCCACCTTTCAGTGAATATGAGTAAGGACAAAATGGAAAACTGTAAAAATTTGGGCTGCCTTCCGATGGCCTCTGGCTTCTGGTGTTCTTTGCCATGTTGCCTCTCCTGACCACCTTCATGAGAGCTGGCTCAGAGCTTGTGCAGAAAACAACAGTCATGACATTGGTCCAAACCTCAAAGCTTGCCCTAATTCAAATACTGCGTCGAGTTCTGGTGTCCCCCCCATAAGAGAGACATAGACTTGTTGAAGCGTGTTCAGAGGAGGGCCACAATGATGATCCAGGGGCTGGAGCACCTCTGCTACGAGGACAGGTTGCGGGAGCTGGGATTGTTCAGCCTTGAAAAGAGAAGACTTCGGGGGGACCTAATAGCTGCCTTCCAATACCTGAAGGGAACCTACAGGAAGGCTGGGGAGGGACTTTTAACAAGAGTGTCCACTGATAGGACAAGGGGAAATGGGTTTAAGTTGAAGGAGAACAGATTTAAATTAGATCTTAGGAAGAAATTCTTCAGTACGGGGTGGTCAGACTTCGGAATAAATTGCCCAGAGAAGTTGTGGATGCCCCTCCCTGGAGGCGTTAAAGGCCAGGTTGGATGGAGCCTTGAGTAGCCTGATCTAGTTGAGAGGCGTCCCTGCCCATGACAGGGAGGTTGGATTAGATGATCTCTAAGGTCCCTTCCAGCCTATGCCATTCTATGATTCTATAATTCTATGAATTATCGGATTCTAACGAGTGCCATGCCTCTGTGTGCGTGCAGGCTGCCTGCGTCCCAGTTATGCTCAGCAATGGATGGGAGTTGCCGTTCTCGGAAGTGATTGATTGGAACCAAGCTGCCGTCATAGGCGATGAGAGATTGTTATTACAGGTAAGAAAAAGACCGTGGCCTTCAGCAGATCAGTTGATTATTGCTGCCGCCGTCTAAATGGATGGGGAAGATGAATCCAAAAGGTCAGGGCTGTAAAAGAATTTTTATCATGAAGGGATTGTCTGTGTCACAGCAGCTATGAACTCATTTAATATGACATCATTCATTTTTTGACCTGAAGGTCATTGCAGCCACAAGGCCACATTCGTAAACGCAGGAGACTTTTATTTTTCCTAAAAGCGTGAAATCTCTTCTGGTGTGGAGCACCTGGATGCCTCTCTGAGGCAGAACCGTTCTGGGCTGGGTGCTGTGATGAGAGAGAAACCATTTGAAGGCAGGTTCTGCTCTAGTCCTTCAGAAATAGTTTATCGTCAGGGTGTGTGTCTGGCTGGCAGGTAGTGAAGGGACTGATCAGGAAAGCAGGCATTTTCTCAGGCAGAAGTTACCACCTAACATTTTTGTGGGAGGCAGAATCTGTCCCTTTTCTGATGTCTGGAGCATGTAATGGTGCTTTCTGAAGCAGTGTTCGTGTCACATTGTTAATCTCCTTGAGAGCACAGAACAAAAGCAAGCTGAGAAGTTAGAAATTCCCTGCTACCTTCAGCATCTACTTTGGTTTTAGCTCCACTAGGTTTTTTTTTCTTCTGTTTCCCTAGTGGGTTTCATAGTCTAAATGCATTCTGTAAAGTATATGGAGAAGTTGATGTTAGAAAAAGTTCTTGAAAAATTGATTTTCCCGAAGTAGCATTTGATAAAGTGCCATTGCCCAGTGTGAAGCTGACATCCACGAGACCTGGAATAGCCACTAAGAGGCCACTAAGAGAGGCAGTTTTTATAGTTGAATTTAACTCATTTCCAAAGTGGCAAGCTTTTTTCATCCATGGAGAGAGGCCTTCAAAGGTACATGTGTCTTGGCACCCCAAAAATAAAGTACCTTTAAAAATCTCATTAGATGCCTATTTACATGTCTGAAGAAGTAAATACTTGTGAAGAGGTGGCCTAGCAAGCCTTGCAAAATGCTGCCTGTTCTCCTTAATGTAACATAAGCTGCAAATATAAAAGGGCCATTTGATTTTTGCTTCTGTGGACAGCACATTTTTTGAGCAAAATTATTTCTCTCTATTATTTCTCTCTTTAAATACTAATAATTTGCTGATCTTCATGCTTTCCGGTAACACGCCATTCGTTCTCTTCACAGCTGCTTCCATATTGAACAGCTACTGCACCGTTATTAACAGTGTTTTTAAAGAGCTGGCAGAGGGCCTGAATGTCTGCTCTGGGAAATGTTTTTGTTGTGTTACAGTTTTTCATTTCCTGTTTGAGAGCAGCTCGGATGTTTTTATTTGCATATTCTCCCCATCACAGCACTGGGAGAGCTTAATCCAGCCTTTCTGCATTTATTTGTGCAGGGTGGTTTTTCCCTTCCCCCTACTTATTGCTGAAATGACCTTTTATTAAGATGTCATCCAGTTCTAATAATTCCAGTGTAATCCTACCAGATTACTATTAATACATCATTTTCCCCACCTGTCTTTCTGGACAAGTAGATTAATAACTAATAGGCAAATGCAGTTAAAATGGGAGCTCTGCTTTTTCCTTCCAGCTGTAGTAACGGAGCAGGCACCAAGACTTTTTTTTTAACCTTGGCACTGTGTTTGCCAGCGCTCGCAGGCACGGTGTGATCTGTAAAATCTTAACTTCTTGCAGTAACCTTCACAGTCAGAGCAGCCTTCCCTTTCAAAAAGCATCGTTGGGAATGAGTATTGATTTTATTTCTTGCTCACACACATATGCACACACACGCAAGGTTGCACATAATGCGATGAAATGAATGAGTTTATAGAAAAAATGCCATATCACCACTGTAAAGTGACTTTGATCATGGGTTTGCTGTTGATAACAATCCCAGGTGTGATTAATACACATCTGTGTACAGCTGGAACAGGTAATGTTCATTATCCCTCTACTTACTGGAACTTAATGGAAAAGTAATGAAAAGAAAGAATATTCACCTCAAAAGATGAAATTTGATGCAATTATTTACCATTCTGGAATAGTGACATGATCAGTTAGAAAAGAATGTGCTAATACATGTTTTTAGCTTCTGTCTTTCATATTTGTTTTGCAGGGAATATTTTACCTAAAGTCCTGTGTTTTACCTAAAGAGCCCATAGCGGAGGAATGTAAAGTACCATTTTCAACAGTCTGACCATTTTCTTCTGTTCCACCTTGCTGTAGTAGTAACTCCTTTAAAAGCTCAAATGCTTTATTATAGTTAGCAGTGTCTCTAAGATGAACGTCGAAGAGATGAAGACTTCAGAGCGCAGAGATTGTCCCATCTGTCACTGCACCCTGTGGAGCCATGGTCCTGTTGGACACAGGGTCCAGACCTGGGTGCAAACAATGCAGTAAAGAATTTACTGATTCTGGTGGAAATTTTTTGCATATACATTCTTAACATCTCAAATTTTCTTCAGGAAAATGTTTCATGTGAAATCATTTGATTCAGGAGCATGTGAAAGCAAATAACAATTACCACCACCTCTTATTATTTTAGGTATAAGCAAAGTGTTATGGTCAGGAAGGGGCGGGATGTGGTAGAATGCAGGTACACTTCAGAAGGAGCTGGGATGTACCAAAAACAAGACACAGCCCAGGTATATGCTTTTACAGCTAACGACTTAGGTAAAAGATTTATGAGAAACGAGTGTCTGAGAAGAAGGTGGCCTAATTTGAAATCACAAAAAAGTAGGTGCAAAAGCACAATTCTTCATTCCTAGAAAAAATGAACACAGATCAGGAACATATCCTAGATGCCTCTCTGATGCTGTGAATAGCCCTTGTAATTGAAGAAAATGGCAGTTAAATTCCCTTGATAATGTCAATTTTCATTGTCAAAGTGGTGTGCTGGAGGCCTTGGTCAAGGTCCTAAGTTAAACAATGACACGTTCGTACATCGGTTTCCCTCCAGTGTGGAAGAGGGACTTGGGAATGAGGGAAGACATAGAAGTGAAGCCCTTCCCTTCTGATCCAGTGAGCAGTTTAAAGGCAAAGCATTGCAGCAGGACAATTTGGGTTCTACTTTTAAGGCAACTTACACCAGAATTAACATGTTGATTTAATGGAGAGGGGAAAGAAGCAGCAGTGTTTTCCCTTGTGAGTAACAGGTGGTGTGGGAGACATTATTCCTTCCACCCACAGTAATTAGTAAAATGTGATTTGATCCACAGGCTCCCAGAAAGTGGAGTCTTATGTAAGATGTTGCAATGTTTTCCTTAGGACACTTAGTGCCGCCATGCTGTGGTAAGTGCAATTCCAGATCCCGTTAATATACTGTGAGAGTGGGGGTTATTATTGGACTCTGAAGACCTGCAGGTGCTAGTTTGTTAAAATGCTAGTCCCTGAAAAGCTTTGTGCACGCGGGATGTATGGAGGAGCTCCTTAATGTGCCACGCCACAGCACTGTGGAGGGGGAGCTTTTCTACTATAAAGCAACCGAAAACTAAGAGAAAGTGGAATTAAAAAAAAAAAAAAAAATCATATATGCAGTACCAGAGGTTATAAAGGGTTGTGTCTCATTCATTTTACATCAAGGCTTTGACTGTTGACACACGCATCTCTGTCGGACAGGAGCGCCGAAGCCGTGCAGCTCGCTAATAGAGGAGAGGGCTTGTCAGCAGCATATTAATTTGATGAGATTGCCTTGTTTTCTGAAGCTTCTGACTATATTACATCTTGTATTACAGATTCCTTCTACAATCAGGTCTATCCATCAGGATAAAATCCTAGCACTTAGACAGCAGACACAGTTCTTGTGGGAGGCTTATTTTTCTTCAGTTGAGAAGATTGTATTGACTACACTAGAGGTGAGTAAAAATTGTCTGGGACCTTGCCGAGCAGCGAGGTTTCTGTACCTGTCCAGCTGCTCCTGTCTTCAGCCGGTGTTGGACTGCGGTTTTTGTGACACACAATTGGTCACTGGGAAAAAAAACTCGGCATCTTGATAAGTTTTCTCCCCTAAGGAAATACTTTCTTCATTATCGGAATCCGCATTAGAAAACTGACACAGTGAAAAATGGGAGCTACCCGACACGTGGAAAAGTTGTCATGTGTGATCTTGCCTTTGCAAAGCTTTATGGCTTATGAATCACTATCCTTGTCATTGATAGTGAATGTGTTTCTTTAAGAAACCTTTCCGGAATTCATTTTGGAAAAAATATTACTGTAAACTCTTCCTTGACCATTCCTTAACACTTCGATGCCTTGTGACGGGGCTGTTGGTCCGGCTGAAGGAAAAGGAGAGGCTTGTAAATCACGGTGTCTTATCTTCACACACAGGGTAAGAGAAAGGCCTGATCATCCGTATAAAATATTAATAAATAATCATAATTAGACTGCTATTAAACAGGGAGACAGATGATCTCAATTGTGGAGAGAATCCTTTCTGAATTCAGAGACGGAGGAGAGATGAAAGGCTCTTTAGAAGTAGGGCCCAGGCTACACTTCCAAAAGCAGGTTTCTCTTCTAATTGTTTCGCAATTTTGCACATAAATTTTTTACACACTTTTACCACTGAAAGTGACTCACTTTGTAGGTGCAAATGCATTCGTCTTATGCTAATGCTTCTGCAATTGCATCCGTCTTTGTGAACAGTTATAAAGCTCCACATTTCCTGCTGTGCCTGCTTTTCCCTGAAAACTGCAAATGAGCACGGCTGCCTGTAGTACAGGTTGCCCGTGGCTGATCTACCTCCAGCTGCTGCAAGACAGTCCCTTAGGCTTTCCTGTGCCAGTGAAGAAAACCAGCCAGGGAATGTTTTTGGAGCCCCTGGCATAGCTGTCCTCGCAACGCTCTCCTCGCCCTTGGAAGAGCATGTCTTCATCTGAGCTGCCCGTTGGGAACTGCTCTGCATTCTCAGACTCCCCATAAGCACCGATGAGGTGGTGGTAATTGTCACAGCCCTCACCAGGATCGGACTCACAAAGCTGGAAGACCAGGTGCCTGTGCTCACAGTCTAATTTACCCGTACAGAAGTACCCTTGGGGAAAATCAGGTACCTCCTGTGTCATCCACCCCTTCCCTGCATGCACCCCGTTATCATTGGGGGTTGCTAAAAGCAGAGGGGTGCATGATTCTCCTCACTGCCCCTCTCCCGCCTGTGCTGGGGCTGGTCTCAAGGGGATGTGACCTGCAGCCCCCACGGCCTTGGTGTCCATCGCATCGAGCTCCAACCCTTACAGATGTGTCTTTAGCGCTGCCCTGGGACACGGTGGCCCCTGTGGCTGCAGGTGCCCAGGGGACAGCAAAACCCAGAATAAAGCTGAAGCAGCTGGGCAACCAGCAAGCTGGAGTTTCCGCTCGGAGGGGAAAACTAAAGCAAAACCAAAAATCTTCCTGGAAGGTTTAATTTGATGAAACCGAACAATGTATGCCTGGTGTTGAAGTTATATTCTGGGTTTTTTCATTTGTTTGCAAGGGTGCTTTCGGTTTGAGGGGTGTTTATTTTTTAATTCAGGACTCTCAGAAATTTTTGGGACAGATAAGAGGGATTCTGTTCTTGTGAACAGATAATTGTTTCACATTTCAACTTGCCTAAGTAAAGTCCTGAGTTAACTTTCCTTAGGAAAGGAATAGAACACTTGAGAGTGATTTTTGGTGTCGGAAATCTGCAAGCAGTATATCCTCTACTTAACATCTGGTGCCTGGAAGTAAATTCCTAGCAAGGTTGTTTTTTTTCTGGTGGATGTTATCTATCTTCTATTGTAACACTGTTGCGTCAGAGTGCTCTGATGATGCTAGATACCATGAGAATAATCACCTGCCTCCTGACTGCAGTGCTGGTACATGTCCACATGTGAGAATATCAGTACAGAAAAAGTCTTCACCAACTCATATGTCTGCAAGGACATCATAGCTCTTCTCTGCCCTTTATCCTGGACACCTCTGAAAACATTAATTCACTTTTTAATGTCCTTCATCCTCTCACAGCATTTGGTGGCCTAAGCCAAACTGCTCATAGCCCAAAATGAGGAGTTTGAATCATTTGGCCAGCAACCCCATATTGCAGACACAGAGGAACAGCCCAGTGCTGTGGACATGGTGTGGATTAGGAAACGATGTTCATGAAGGTCTGCCCCGGCAGGCGAGCGTCAGCGCCGACAGCGATGGGATGCTGCAAACACTATCCGGACACGTGCTCCCATGTATCTGCACTTTTTCAGCTTGGTCTTCTCTGAAAACAAACCCAAAACGTCCCTAAATCCCTGCGCAGCGTGCCCAGTCCTCTGCTCAGGAAGAGGAGGGGAGAGGGATAGCACAAAGTGCAGACAAATGTTTGGTGCTTGCCTGGGGCATGTTGTGAAGCAGCAATGATTAAGGCAATATGTGAACTTTTTTGAAGTGTGAGGATGAGGGAGACAAAAATATTGGACTCTTAATGAACTCCAAAAAGAAAAGGGAGATCTCACCAGAGATCCTAACCCCTTCCTCCTCTGATTAAACTTCCTTTTATGCCTCATCATTGAAGAGACCGTGTAGCTGCTGTCCGTCTCTGCAATATGTGCAGTGCTATACTCTCTGCATTTTAATTGATTGGTCCTCCATGTTATCTTTTTTTATCTTTTTCTGTTCTCTTTCTGCCAAGTTGTCTTTTCTCCTCTCTGCCATGACAGACAGCTAGGTTTCTTACATAGACCAGGAGCGTGATAAATTAATCTTCCATTTGTTAACTGTGATAAATCACCGAGGCCAGCTCCCCAGCCTGCTGCGGATCCGCACCGGCGAGCTTTGTGTGCCTGATGTGCACCGAAGGCTGCGTGTGCTGCATGGCACCGGGGGCCTGCTCCGTGCTGGAGCTGCGCTCGCTCCGGGTGCGCTGGGGCGGCATTGAATGGGAGCCATGTGTTTCCCCTGCAGCCTTGTTGGCTACCAGCACAGTGGAAAACTCCACTGTCTGTGAAAACCTCCTGACCATGTAAATTCGCAGACTTCTCCTTATCTGATTATGCCGCCGCGGTTCTGAGAAAGCAGGAGGAAGGAGCTGCAATGTTTAGGCTTTCTGGTAAACACTTGAAAATACGTACTTCTAGGTTCTGTCTTTGTTTAGTGGCATAACTTGCAGATGGAGAAACACCAGTCATGGTTTGGTTTTTTTTTTCCTTTCTCCGCTACCATGTAGGAGATCTGACAACTGATACACCCAACTTTCAAACAGAAATATTCAAATACACTCTTGCCAGTGATGGAAATACAGGCCTAAGTCTGTTATTCTGAGACCAAAAAAAAGGTTAAATTAACTTACTCATGTGAGCAAATTACTGCATATTAGCTATGGTAATTGGCTGTAGGCAAGATTCAGACAAGCATGCAAACACCTAACATTTGCCCCAGTTTAGCAGTACGTATATTGCCACCAGCAGTGGATTGTCTAGCACAATGTGTGACTGTGTTTTAATGCGGGTTCTTTTGTCATGGCAATCAAGAATTCCAGGAAAACCACTTCTTGTGGCAGCACTTATTCATGTTCTGTATTGGCCAAATGTCCCTGAACTCAGCTGCTTGCAGAGATTTTAGCTTGTCTAGTCTCCAGCAGCTGCTTTTGTTTGGCTCGTGTTGGATCTTTTTGCTTGGTTTTGGTTTTCCTATGCTGTGGGTATATACCTTCTTTAGTTCCATAGATTTTAAGGCCAGAATGAATGATGAGGGATCAGATTTAGTGCAAATTTAGAGTCATAGAGTTTCACCTATGTATGCCTATGTTAAGGCCAGAGATGGTAGGTTAGGAGAACCAACACATTCTTGGCACTTGAGCACTGTGCAATGCATAAACTGCCAGTTACATGAAATCTCCTTGGGAGATCGCAGAAGATGAGCTGCAGAAGAAGGCAAGGCAATCCTGCTTAGCCAACTTAGAGGAAAATTCTTTCTTCACCACCCCATGGCCCTTTGCAGTGTCCCACCTCCAGACCTGCCAACCTCTGATGCTCTGGGGGGAAGGCAAATCTGTAAGAACATGTAGCCCAACAGCAGATTGCACTTAGCAAGTTGCATCTTACTTGGAGGCTGAATTTGTCCAGTTAAAGCTTCCCAACGCTGAGTCTTGTTAGGCCTTTGCAGCAAGTTTGAAAAAGCTCCCATCGGTGCAAGAAACGCTGTGGTTCTTGCATACAGTCATCCGATGCGGAGTAACTGCAATTAGTTTTACAAATACATGCTAATGTACATACAGCCTTGTATCTTTTTTTGTGGCTCGGGGCATTCTAGATGCGAAAGTAGATGACCTAGCAATCTGTTCTGACCTTAAAAATCTAGGAATCTGTGTTGTGGCCCTCTACAGAGACAGACAGTAGTTGCCAAAAGATCTTTTTCTGTTTCATCCAACAAGGTGCTGTTATAAAACAGAGGCGTCGAATCAGTAATGTATCTGAATGCTAATATCCCTTTATAATTAAGCAAAAATGAATAATTAGTGCAGCCTGATTTGCTGAAAGTCTTTGTGGTTTTGAATGCTCTCATTATCTCAAAATAATACCTAGCTTTGTAATGCCATCCTCAAATAATTATCTTCTGTGAGTTCTGGGTAGTAAAACTGACAATGAACTAATCGGGCTTACAACTGCTAAGATACTCTAATGGAAAAAATATTTGACTTGAAATACAAAATGCAGTGAATTGCAAGGTCCCCATGTCCAGAGGGACTAATGAGGTGCTCTGAAACCTATTGCACAAAGCCCGAGCTGCTGAAGTGGTGTCAGTGTGCACGTCCTGTGTCATTTTAAGTCAGGAATGTCTAGTTATTTGTGTGCCTCAGCTTTTGCAGAATGGGTGATGATTCCAGTCAGCTGGAGTCCCTGAAGCTTCTACCAGTGACTATTACAGTCTATTTAAAAATCATCGCCTCTCTTGTTTTCCAGATTATTCAGGACAGAATATTTAAGCACATATCACGTAACAGCTTAATATGGAACAAACATCCTGGTGGGTTATTTGTACTGCCACAGTATTCCTCATATCTGGGAGATTTTCCTTACTACTATGCTAATCTCGGTGAGTGAATCCTTGCTATAATCTAGTGGTACTTGGCATTTCTAGTGGAAATTTGGAACTAGGTCCTTGAATAGCATGTGCCAAGTGATTTACCATTCATTTCTAGTTAATGATGCCCTTCGTTTATCCTGTCTCAATCTTCCCTGCCCACTGTAGACTGGAATGTCTCTGACTCATCAACATGCATCATGTGCCTTTCGCTTGCAAAGATTGTTTTTAAAAAATCTATGTCCCTTCATACTTTTCAGTCGCCAGTAATTAATGCCTGAGTTACTGACCCATTCATGGCCCAAGGGGACATAAGAGGAATAGCTTTTTGCTTGCTTTGTTTATTTGTGCTTGGCAAATTGGAAAAGTGGTAATTTACCCATGACACTTGTTATTGGAGTGCGTAGTTGGTATGGATTTATTCTCCATACTATGTGTCTTTGTACGGATTCCACTAGAAGGAATGAATAGGACGTAAGTCGTGGCTCCTTCCTGAAGCAGAGTTTAAAAGATGAGTTCTGCAGGGGAATGTGCCTGCAGGCTGAAGTGATGCTGCTTACCAGACTGCTGCTACTTTTGGCTCAGCCTGTGCCATCCCACTTGTGTGGATCTGTACTAAAAATTCACAGTTACCATGTTAAAGAGGGAGAAGTTTTCTGTGGGAATTTTGATGAAAAACGACTATGACCCCACACAGATGAATTTAGATAAGAGTGAGAGCAGTAATGAAGGGTAGACACCAGTAGGATCTGTTATTTCAGGCAGGAAAGGAAATCATAGCGAGACAAAAATATCAGAATGGAAGGCAAGGATGCAAGCAGAATTATCAGCTCAGGCGGTAATTGAAGATGCATGTGGATGGGGATTGATCCAGAAAGAGCAAAAATCTGACAGAGACTGTAATGGAACTGAGGAAACTGAACAAGTCCCTGGAAGTTGTGGAGATAATCTGTAGAAAACATCAAGCATCCAGAGCCAGGCAGCAAAACAAGAGCCAATGTCAAGGAAGACATTTGGTTGAACAAACTAGATGGCAGTATTATCTGTGAGACAAACTGGATGAAAGAAAGAGATTGCAGGACATCCGTGGAAATAGTGAGTAAGAAAAGGCAGTAATTGTGTTGGAGTCAGGGATTTCAGAGGGTGTGGGAATTAAAGGGAAGTGTGATCTCTCTGAAGCATCTGGTATCCTAGTGTCCAAGACGAAAGGAGATGGCCTAAAACAATATGGCAAGGTTTGCATTAAGTGCGAGTTATTTTTCCATCTCCAGAGTCCTTTAATCTGTACTAACTGGGGCAATTTTGTCTTTACTGAACAAATAATGTCTTCACTTCAGGTCTGAAGCCTCTTTCCACATTCACTGCCGTTATCCACGCAGTAACTCCCCTGGTTTCCCAATCTCAGCCTGTACTGAAACTCCTGGTTGCTGTAGCCAAGTCCCAGTACTGTGCACAGGTAAGCAGTGCTGTTGTTTGACTGTCAGTCACATTGGAGACAAGACTACTGTCCCAGGAGTGAAGAGCCTACTGACTTCAGATGTTCTCAGTCCTCTTTCAAACCCTTGATTCAATTCTGGTGTTTCTTTTCTCTGAGATTTCTATTGTCTGTGACCTACGTGTATGGGAAACAAAAGTTCTGAGTATAGTGGGAGTGGAATAGAGACAGTAATTAAACTCCTTTGTTTCATGAGGCAGGTAAAATAATGACTGTACTTTAAAGATCAGGACTGTGTGTGCTGCAAACTGCAAAAGGATGTCTGTGCCTCAAGAGCCCCTACATGATCTTCTTTCCTCCCACGGCGGCTCTTAGTCTCAGCAGTGTGAGGATTTTGGCTTCTCTAAAAGAAACCCTGGGGAGTTCAGTAGGAGCACCCTCTTACAGTGGACTGTTGCAAGTGGTTTAGCCTTGTAAAGTAAGCCAAAGTAAACCAGAGACATCCGTGTGACCTGGCCTAGATAGAGACTTCCTGAGTTCCTGTCCAGCCTGTATTGGCTTAGGAGGACATATATTGTAAAGAGTCAGGATGGGTGAAATTACTGTAGGAAGTGTTATTTTTACACAAATTTGTATCATTGTTGATTTTGAAATTCCTGACTTGAATGTAACATTTCTGTCTGGAGATCTGAGTCTTTAGGGTTTGGACTGCTTTGTCACAAAGGTCTCTGATCGTGGTCCGATATTCTCTTTCAGATTATTGTTTTATGGAATTGTGATAAACCCCTCCCAGCCAAACACCGCTGGCCTGCCACTTCTGTGCCTGTCATAGTCATTGAAGGAGAGAGCAAGGTAGGTGGAGAGAAACATCGTAAAAGATTGGCGTATATTCTCCAGTGGGATCAGAATTTATTTTTCCAGTTGCTTTGGTGAAAGCTTTGTAGTTCCCCACGGTGTGACAGCTCCTTTCTGTTCCTTGGCCCTTTGTACCAGCTTGGTCACAGGTTCGTGTTTCATGCATGAGGCCCCATACTCTCAGAAATCATCAGCATGGCCATTAATGCCATGAATCTGAGATTCACAGGTGGCACCTGGTTCTGAAATGTGGACCTGAGAGTAGGTAGTGCTGGCCCTATCTTTGGAGATTTCTCTCTCTCTGCAGGTGCATGAAAGTAGTGATGCAGCTGGATTAATTGAGTCTGAGCAGTCAGATGCAAGACTTGGGGGTCAGCTGTGGACTCAAAAGCAGAGGAAAAGATGAGAATGAATGGTGTTAACGCACCTTTGAAACGTACCTTCTCTCCTGGCCCTGTAGGGTACTGCTGCCAGTGATGGGATCCCACCACCAAAAAAATGGAAGGGACAAGGAACACTTGTGTGGGAACAAAACCACTGTGTTATCTCTTGCCGTGCAGCACACTTGTTTGTTTGCACTTCCACAAAGTCGAAACAGACACCACCCACATGAGAAAAGAGGCTTTTTTAAAAACCCACACTGAAGTGGATGATTCCTTTCCAAATGCAGGCCTGAGAGAAGCAAGACTTCTTGCTTCTGGACTCTGACTGAGACAGATTTGGGCTGGTCCCCTCTGCGATGTGTGTCAGCTGGCTCTCGAGCTCTGCGTTTGCAAAGGGAACTTGTAGATGCTGTGGCTGTACGATCCTGTTTTGAATTTATAGTCCTGTCTCCTGTCTTTTCTCCCAGTCACCTTGACAAGTGGAAAGCGAGAGCCCTGCAAGGTTGGCAGCTAATGGCTCTTGCCTTAGCTAGCCATGTAAACAGTATCAGGAGAGTTGCTGCAGGGCCAAGAAAGGCTGTAGTGATTTCTGAGTCTTTTGAACGTCGTGGGCTTTTTTTCTTTCTTTTTGGAAAGCTTACAGAGGTGAGATAGAGGAGAAAATCTCTGACCAGTTCTACAGTGTTTGTAGAAATTGGCCCGGGCACTGTTTAGATTACAAACGAGTCTCCTGAGTACACAAAGGTGTGTTTATAGTGGACAGTCTCTCCCTTCTAATATCCCAACGTATGCCAAATGGCTTCTTGCGTGGAAAGCTGTTTGTTTGGACAAAGCTTGCAGAGCCAGAGCAGTGCAATTCAAAGGTTGCACAAAGGAACTGCTTTTCATCTTCAGACTGCACTGAAGCGTACTGGCAGGCACAGTTACTCCGTGCAGGTGATCACAGGGGTCTGCCTTTGCCTAACTTTCACTCTTCCCCGTGAAACCAAGATATATTATCACACCCATTTTACAGGAGGGAGTTTTAAGTACAAAAACGAATACATGGGAAGTCCTGACTGTTACTGTTTGACAATTTTTCACAATCTGTAAAAGAGCTGGGGTGAGAACGCTGGTCTCCTGCCAGCTGCTTGCTCTGCTTTGCCTTTGCGTAAGCGAAGCAAAACCATCAGTCCCTGCCAGATCACCTCTTCCTCACTGCCAGATCACCTCTTCCTCACTGCCAGATCACCTCTTCCTCATAGCCACCGCCCCGGACCGAGGCCATCGTGGCGGTGGAGGGATGCTCTCCAGACAGACTCAGTGAACCTCCTGATTATAGAGACAGAGATTTCTCTGAATCAAGACATAGATTTAGGGACTTGCTTCCAAACAGGTTGCAGGCCACGCTGAACTGACCATGTCCGTTATGAGGGATGTGTAAAACTTTTCTGTGTCCCTGTTTCCAAATGGTGATTTCCTCTTACTGGGCCTGATTTTTGTGGTGGTTTTTTGGTGTTACAAATTGGAAGTCTGTTAACTAGCCAGGATATTTTTCCTAACAAATGAGGGAAAAAAATACTGTTGTGTCCTTGTTACTATTCATCAATTCTCAAAAGGTGCTAATTATTCTGCTAAAGAAACCATATGGATTCTCATTTCTTGCTGTTATCTTTTTGATCCTGCTTTCTCATCTATTTCCTAGTGCTTTGAGAACTGTCCTGTCATAGTTTTTGAAAGCTTATTCTACATACAGATTATATATATATATAATTTTGTCATTTAAGAATGTGACTTTTTAAAATGCTACAAGACCAATATAATTCTCGAGGCAAGTGAAGCTCAGCTGATACTCATGTTCTTTAGCATATTCTCCTTTTCTGATGGAGAATGTTGCACCATTTGGGAGCAGCTCCCCATGGATACAACAGCACTGCACGGAGATGGAGCTGTACCACATTACAGGGGAACCATCCTGGTAACATAAAGTCCTTCACATGCAGCCTGGACTGCTTGACTTCCCAGCAGTGTAACCTTAGGAATGCTGCAAAGTCCTTCTCAGCGTTTATTATCTTTGATCCTCACACCCCGTAGGAGGGCAGAGGGACAGTCCTAGCTACCACGTAAAATGTCCTCCCTAAAGAAGCTGTAGGTACATCTGATTCTCAGTACAGACCATTGCAGTTTGTCACGAAAGGAAAGCAACCTGCTCCAAAGAGGAAGGTCTGTTCAGAAATTACTCCTGAGGTAGAAGGTATAGGCTGAGTGCCGGAGTGACGAAAATGAGAGTCTTTCACTCTTGAGTGGAAGGGTCCTTTCCATCAGATAGAGATAGGTGATGTGCCTCAGGCAAGATGAAATAAGAGTGAGGGATAAAACTGAGTGTTTCCCTTGGAAACGAGTCCTTCAAGTGATTTTTTTCTCCCCTTCCTGCCTTGGATACCCACAGGTTATGAGCAGTCGCTTCCTACCCTACGACAACATAGTGACAGATGCAGTGCTAAGCCTGGATGAGGACACCGTGCTTTCAACCACTGAGGTAAGGGTCTCTGTCGGCTTGGCTCCTCAGCTCATCCTGAGCACAGCAGGTAGGCTCGTCTCTTGGCTTTGCCAGGGAGCGAATGTTACAAGATTTCCTGCTACGCTCCTCAGATTTAGCGCGTTGCACTTGTTTCAGCAGCCCTACCACTGCCTGCCATCAGAGGAGCTTCTCGCCCTGGTTAATTGGCTCATCATTAGCATATGGTTCTTCCGTTCTTCATTATTTTAGTAACATAGCTGCAGGCGGGTGTAGGCAGCCAAGAGCAGTCGGCTTTAATACTCTGTTCTCACTTTTCTGATTGGGGTGGCTTTTTTCACCCCCACGTTATCAGTGGGGTGTAGGTGGGGAGGGAAGAGGTGTCAGCAGCAGGAGACTGCTGTCGCTCCAAAAGACAGCTTTGCCACCCTAATGCAGGATTTCACTGAGGAATGCTCTCACCATTGTGTCACCCCATAAAATTGGAGATCTTTGCTAGTTTAGGTGTTAGAGTGTTTGTGCCAAGAGCAAGATAGCGCTAAGAAAAGAAAAATACTGTAGAAAACCAATTTTTACAACTAGGATGAGTATTGATTTCTGGAACCTCTTCCTGAGAACCACAGGGGAAACTGATGACAGTTTATATAGAGTGCAATATTTGGGAAATACATTATTAATGATGGCCAGGGAATAGCTTGAAAAACTCGATTTTCTTTTGTTTTCCCTTTTTTCCCCCCATGTTCATGGCCATTCCCTTCTCCTCACTTCACCTTTATAGAAGTGCTTTTTTATCAGTGCTGGGGATCTTTCACTGATGCTTCTACCGCTTATATGTCAGTGAAGAAATTCCTAACATTAGTCACCCATCACTGCTATTTACCTCAAGATGTCACCAAAGTTGTTCTAAGTGACTGAGACTGCACCTGCTTTTCTCCCAGTATGGATTTGTTGTGCTGTAGTTAGACTGCTCCAGAAGGAGCCATGAGAGCCCTCTTCTGCTGCACAGATGGAAAAAGTGGTTGGCATTGGACCTATTTGATACCGAGGTTACACCTTGGTGGTTTCTGCTAGATGAGGAAGAATACAGCTGCTGCCAAACATTGCACAGCCAAAAAAAAAAAACAAACCAAAACCAATAAAAGGCATTTGTCCTGGGGCTGGAGTTCTTAAGAAGGTTGTTGCTCAGGATGAAAGGTCTTGTCTCAGCTGCCCTCTCAGGGACTTCATGGACCTGTTGGAGAGGGTCCAGAGGAGGGCCACGCGTATGATGAGAGAGCTGGAGCACCTCTCCTCTGAAGACAGACTGAGAGAGTTGGAGTTGTTCAGCCTGGAGAAGATAAGGCTCCGGGGACACCTTCTAGCAGCCTTCCGGTATCTAAAGGAAATCTACAAGAAAGCTGGAGAGGGGCTTTTTGCAAGGGTGTGTAGTGATAGGACAAGGAGTAATGGCTTTAAACCAAAAGAGGGGAGATTTTGATTAGATCTAAGGAAGAAATTCTTCACCCTGAGGGTGACGAGGCACTGGAACAGGTTGCCCAGAGAAGTTGTGGATGCCCCATCCCTGGAAGTGTTCAGGGTCAGGTTGGATGAGACTTTGAGCAACCTGATCTAGTTGCAGGTATCCTTGCCCATGGCAGGGGGGTTGGAACTAGATGATCTTTAAGGTCCCTTCCAACCCTAACCATTCTGTGATTCATTGCACTGAGGTGGTATTTACAGCAATCAAGCCCGTGGATTCCATGCGGATCTGGGGTTTTGTTTTGTTTTGGCTGGTATTTAATCATCATCTAAACTTTGGAGTCATTCAGGCTTCTGGAACACATATGAAATAAATAGAGTTTCTCATTCAACTTGGCCATGTTTTACCCTAAACATTCTGAAATGCAAATATTTGTTGTTGTGTGAGACAACATACACATTTCTTTGTGGCTTCTTCCCTCCTGTGAGCAGCTTGCAGCCAATATTGCATGTTTGCACAGTGGATATTGGCTCTACGAGCCCCGTGGCCCCTGTGCTGCTGGGAGAACCAGCTGCCCAGCTCTTGCTAGCAGTAGCCTTGCAGCTTCAGTGTGCCTGTGCCAGGGTCACGACTCTCGTTGGCGACTCTCTGCGAAGAACTAGGTCCTTTCTATTGCTTCACTTCTGCCGTCATGCGGCTTACACAAAGAAACAGCGCATTGAAACACTGATGTGAAACGCCTCGTGTGAAACGTTCCTTGAAACTGGCTGCTCATGGGTGGTCGTGTGGCAAAGCTTCAGGGCCCAAGAAGGTAATTGAGAAACATGGTCAAACGTGATCGCATTCCTGTTGGGAGGAGCAGTCACCAGGCACATCCTTCATTCTTTCCGTCTCTAGCGTAGTAAAGGTTTTCTGTTCACAACAGAACGGCGTGCAATTGCTCTTGTGAGAGGAGCTGTGTTGCACGCGCAGAGGGATGTTTGCATGGGACGTAATTAGGAATCAGCACGGGTCAGAAGTGGTACGGAGGTTTAAGAGTCTGGCAGCCTGGTTGGCTTTTGCTGCTGATCAGCCAAGTGATAATGGTGCAGAAAATTATATAGGATGAGAACTGGAGGTTTTTTAATAAAGGGAGTTTTCTCTTAGAGTGCTTTTTTTTAGTGTCTCTCAGTGGTGCAAGGACAGATACTTGAAAGCACAAGTGAGGGCACTGAGTGCAGCTGCTTTATTATTTATTTAAGTTTGAGATCCTCAGACTTCCCTAAAGAAAACAGATGTCACGTTTTATGGGAAAGGCCTTTACAGGGGAAAAAAAACAACCCTTCAGTTCTTTCATGTGGTATTGATTTGGATGAGATCAGAACTATCACAATGGTAACTGGTTTGTGCACATTGTCTTTCTAGTTGGCCTCAGATTCCTTGAAACAACTTGAAAGAAAGTAACCAGTCCTTAATTTTGTGTTCCAGTACATGTGCGACTCTTCTGTTTCATAAAAACACTTGTAAATGAGAGAAGTCTGACAGTAATCACAGAAAATGTGACTGTTCTCGGAGCAGTTATTCTTTACCTAACCTCTACACCCTTGACTTTGGCTGGGTTCTGGGAAGGTTTTTCAAGTGTTTTTGAGCAAAGTTTTTGGTCCCGCTGGTACTGGAGGGAACTCGATGTGCAGTGCAGAAACAAAGCCCTTATTTTCTTGGGTTTGACTGGGACAATTTGAATTGTCTTTAACTTTGAAATTTCGGTCTAGTTTGAGCTCCAAACCTTCAGTTGAAATGAAGAGACTGCCAACCAACTTTACAGTGATAAAAGTCTTTCCATATGTATTTTTACCAAGCTCCTTTCAAATCTAGTGCTGACCAGCCTTCTGCAAACTCCCTCAATCATCCCTTTCCTAGTGTCACCAGGATTTGTTTGGTGGGATCCTGGGGTAGCAACATGGTGTCCCCTTTTCAGTTCTCAGAGATTTGAATTATTAAAATAGTTACAGCAAGACAGTAAAATAATTAAAAAAAACACTATTGGCAGCAGTTGTGGCTGCTGACATCTTCTTGTGGCTCATGCACCATCAAGCATTTTTCTTAAAGTAAAAGCTTCTAAAGCCATATAACTACATGGGAATCTTATCTTCCTCTTTATTAAGCTATGGTTTAAGCCTCTTGGTTATATAGGCAGTCTTAGAAGTATGACCTGCACGGTCCTCAAAGGCTCAAAATGGGTGGAAAATATAAAAGGACTCTGCACTGATTGCCTGTTTTAATCTCACTGAGCCACCCTTATAATTTAAGGTGATTGACTCCTGATTTTCCAAGCTTTGTGTTGACGGTACTGAAATGGTAGGTTAGATGCACAAAGATGTGCAAAACGTTCCGTTTACCACACAGATATTACCACTCTATATTGCATCTAAGTACCTGCACCTACACCCATTCTTTCTGTAACTTGAAAAGGTTTGATATGTAAAGGGCAAGCTTGAAAATGTTAATGTAATGCTGTGATGCTCTAGACTCCCTTTAACAGGAACTATTAAAATGTGCATAATTATAGGGCAAAATGTCAAGCAGTCAGTTTAATTTACCGATGAATACATAGAATTAATGTTTTGCAACAGTTCCAAGATTTTGAATTACGAATTAGTGGCAAGGTAATATTTTGTTTTGTTGACATTTGTTGAAACAATTTCAGTATTCATTCGGCCTGTGCCTTTGTCCGCAGGTGGATTTTGCCTTTACAGTTTGGCAGAGTTTTCCTGAGAGGATCGTAGGTTACCCTGCTCGCAGTCACTTCTGGGACAACACTAAGGAGAGGTGGGGTTATACCTCGAAATGGACTAATGACTATTCCATGGTATTGACAGGAGCTGCTATTTACCACAAGTAAGAACCCAAAGCATCTGCTGTCCTCCTTCTATATGAAACAAAATAGTAAAGGGCGGTGGGTGGGTGTGAAGAGCATACTTCCGGGGAGGGGAAAAATGGGAAGATAATAAATGGGTCTGCTTTTTATGGGGTAATAATTTATGTTCTTGACTTAGCTCTGGGGATCTGGTAATCATTATTGCGCTTGTTGGGTCTCTTTGAAGTCACTTGTATTTTGAGGCAGTCAGACTGCTCTTTTTAACATCAGGAATTACACACTTCAAAGAGTTACCGGGTTCATTAAGCTGCTCGGCTGAATGGCCTGTAGCGTAGCAGAAAGGAGGTTGCTTCCAGACCAGCTCTAGGTATGTGTTGGCTGACAGCTGCAGACTGCAAAGTCTTCTGGCTACTCTAGAAATGCAGTACAGTGGACACATCACAGATCAGCATGTTGCAGCATGTTGGAGAAGACCCCTGTTGTTAGGGCTTCAGCGGGCAAAAGACTCCTCCAGATTTTAGGAGAAAGTCGGCAAATTAGTCTAGAGTATCTAATCCACATCCCTGCAAAGGAGAAGACAGACCATAGGGGATGATATAGGCCCAAAGGAGAATAATTTCAACAGTAGAGACAGATGTAGGCCAGTTGAATAGAGTTCTCTCCAACTGAAACGGTTTTGAAACGGTTTTGAGAGAAGAGGTGAAGGATGAATCCATCAGTGTTGTCTATCACATTGTAGCAATACGATGCTCTCTTTCCTACTTCTCCATTATCTTGATGCTTAGGTCTGCATTATTTCTTTCAACCCAGGTACAAAAAAGGCATATGTTTTGTTTCTCCGTTAGCGCTATTTACTGTCTTGGTGAGATACTGATTTGTTCTCCCTTCTTGTTGGAGGATGGGACCGAAGAAAGGAAGTGCTATAGAGTGCAAAGCTTGTGTCTCAACTGAGATAGAAATTTCCTGGAGTTTGTAATCCCTGAAAGCCCAGTGACTTGTATTAATAACGCTGCTGTTGGTTTCCAGATATTATCACTACCTGTACACTCATTACCTGCCTGCCAGCCTAAAGAATATGGTGGACCAACTGGCCAATTGTGAGGACATTCTAATGAATTTTTTGGTATCAGCCGTGACAAAATTGCCTCCAATCAAAGTAACACAGAAAAAACAGTATAAGGAGACCATGATGGGACAGGTATGTATCCACAGCATGGTTTAGCACTTAGGATGTATTGATAATACAATAGTTTGCCTTCTAGGTTAGGCTTACAGAGTGATACAGTTCTGTCAATTTTTTTGCAGTTTTTAGTTTAGCAGAACTGTGTATGGACTTTAGATATGCTTATTATAATGAAGGAAAAAGAGAAATGGCAAAATTCTACTGTGGATGACAGCTCCTGTTCATACTTTTCTTACACAGTGTTATTCACGGTGATTCCAAACTCATGGAAGTGATGATAGTAGTAACCAAATTTCAATTAAACTCCAGTTTTCTAATTAACTATTCTAGACCTAGTCATGGAATGCTAGAAGCAGAAGTAAATTGCAGAAAGATATTCTATTTTTAATAATTATGAATTAATATAATGTACCAGGCCACTGTTTTAAAGTATATAGTGTGATTCAAGCACTGACATTGGACTGTCACAACAGAGGTAGATGTTCAAGCTTTTTTCCCCACAAGGAACATTTTGTCCCACAGTGATGCCATCACTCACTAGCCGCCGTGAATTACTTGCCTTAGATCCTCTTCCAGCTACTGGATAAGCACCCTGTCATTGCAGAAATAGATATACCTGCTAGTAACGGGGATACACGGTAACCTGGGGGCACTTTTCCTCTTGCCCTGTGTGAGCAAGCGATGGGAGGAATAGCAAATCCTGCAAGACCTGCAAGTCCTAAACAACCTTCCATCTGTGTTGCCATGGTGTATGTGATCCTCACTACAAACAGTACCATGATTACTAGGGAGCAGGAGAAAGAAAGGGCCCTCTATTTTCCCCTCACATTTTCTCCTGTTAGCATTACTTGGATCTTTGACTGGGAGTGGCCACACGAATTCGTAGGCTGCCTTACCTGTATGCCACTGCACTTTCGTCATGAGGTATAGGTAGCAGTCAGCAATTCTGACTCATCCGGGTACCCAGGAGACCTTCTATGAACAAGAAGGTGCCATCCAGAAAGTACCTATTGCTTCCAGTTTGAGCTTCACCTCTCCACAGGGCCATGCTTTGGCTGTTTGGCAAAGTCTGAACATTCATTTTTCTTTTTATAGCGCGGATGACTTGAGTCAGCCACGAGCTATAACTCTCTCCTAAAGACAAGTTGTTCCTGCAGCTTTGGGAAATGTAATGGACCATGTTCATAATTCCTTGAAAGAAAAATAAAAAATTAACATAACCTCAATGTTGTGACAGAGATTAATAGGCATATGGAAATTCACTGTTAATGGCCAGAATGTCTGCTATAATCCTCTAGCAACAAGCTTTTGCTTGCTCCTTAGTGGCTCGGTGTAATCAAGAGTCTGTAATCAATGCACATTATAATCTCCCACTTGAGCTAAACTGGACAGGCCTTGGACAAAGATCAAGTCTGATACGACATTTAGTTGGCAAGTCTCTGACTTTATCAGTTTCTTCATGTTTTAATTAACATACTTTGAGTTTGCGAATTTGTATTTGTTTTCAAAGTATAGTGGAAACATAAGTGCTGTAGAGAGATGCATGAGAAGTGGCACAAAAAAAACCCTTAGATTCTCAGCATTCATACTTTTAAATAATAGTTTTATTATATTTATAAATATAGTTGAGGTTCAGATAGAGAATAATAATTGCTTCAAAGCTGTTAAGGCCTTATTTTTCCAGACGTGCTGAGTTTCGATAGACTTTCATAGGAATTACACCTGCCCTGATCTTTGAAAAATCGGGCCACAGGATTTTGCATGTATGCGTGCAAAGACCGTGGTCTCGTCCTCAGGCCAGAGCTCTAACGTGATGTAACGTGGAACTTCAGTTAATTTTCTCAGTCCGTAAGACGATACTGTCTTACGCACTGGCCGTGGCCGGTGGGATTCCTGGAAGCACCCTGCTTTTCTCTGCAGGACAGCTACTCGCATGAGTAGTGCCAAGCATGTAAAGACTTCTGCTGAGCTCAGTGACAAGCTGCTTGAAATTACTGTGTATAAATTTCTGCAGACTGGGTTGCAAAAGTGCGGTTTTGACCTGAAAAAACGTAATAATCGCAGCGTGTTTTCTTCCGCGAGCAGCAGCTGGCCTGAGCTTGAATGGGCACCTCTGGTGGAGCACAGTGGCCACCTTGTCTTTCCTGGCAGTTTTTAAGGACTTGTTCTGTCTCTGAAATAGCTTGAGGGTTTAGGGGAAAAAAATGGAGTGAGAGCTGTGGTGAAGCACGGTGCTGGCAGGCTGTGGGAGTGCTGGCGGGTGTCGTGCTGTGGGTCAGGCTCACGGTTGGTCTCAGGGCACCAGGCTGCTCTGCCCTCAGCACTGCTGGAGGTCGGGGTGGCCAGCTGGCCATCACTGGCTGCTGGCTGCCACTGGGGCAGAGCGTCCTTCCCCTGGGTAGAACCCCCCGCCAGGCAGATTTCAGCTGCCGCAGAGCCAGGTGCTCTCAAGCCCCAGCGCGGCTCTGCAGCATGGCGTCAGCCTGGCCGCACCACCCGCCCTTTCCTGCCGTTTTGAGTGCACCCTCAGCAAGTTTGCTGATGACACCAACTGTGTGGTGTGGTGTTGTGGACACGCTGGAGGGAAGGGATGCCATCCAGAGGGACCTTGACAGGCTGGAGAGATGAGCCTGTGAGAACCTCATGAAGTTCAGCAAGGCCAAGTGCAAGGTCCTGCACGTGGGTCGGGGCAATCTCAAGCACAAGTACAGGCTGGGTGGAGAATGGACTGAGAGCAGCCCTGAGGAAAAGGACTTGGGAGTGCTGGTCAATGAGAAGCTCAACATGAGCCGGCAATGTGCGCTGGCAGCCCAGAAAGCCAACCGTATCCTGGGCTGCATCAAAAGAAGCGTGGCCAGCAGGTCGAGGGAAGTGATTCTGCCCCTCTACTCTGCTCTCGTGAGACCCCACCTGGAATATTGCCTTCAGCTCTGGGGTCCCCAACACAAGAAGGACATAGAGCTGTCCATGAAGATGATCCAAAGGCTGGAGCACCTCTCCTAGGAAGACAGGCTGAGAAAACTGGGGCTGTTCATCCTGGAGAAGAGAAGGCTCCAGGGTGATCTTATCGCAGCCTTCCAGTACTAAAGGTACCCTACCGGAACGCTGGAGAGGGACTTTTTACAAGGGCGTGTAGTGACAAGACAAGGGGCAATGGATTTAAACTGAAAGAGCGTAGATTTAGATTAG